ACTGATGTAAGGGTGTACTCTGATGGGCATACTGATGTAAGGGAGTACTCTGATGGGATTACTGATGTAAGGGTGTACTCTGATGGGATTACTGATGTAAGGGAGTACTCTGATGGGGATACTGATTTAAGGGAGTACTCTAATGGGGATACTGATGTAAGGGTGTACTCTGATGGGGATACTGATGTAAGGGAGTACTCTGATGGGGATACTGATGTAAGGGAGTACTCTAATGGGCATACTGATGTAAGGGAGTACTCTGATGGGGATACTGATGTAAGGGAGTACTCTGATGGGGATACTGATGTAAGGGAGTACTCTGATGGGGATACTGATGTAATGTAAGGGAGTACTCTGATGAGGATACTGATGTAAGGGAGTACTCTGATGAGGATACTGATGTAAGGGTGTACTCTGATGGGGATACTGATGTAAGGGAGTACTCTGATGGGGATACTGATGTAAGGAAGTACTCTGATGGGGATACTGATGTAAGGGAGTACTCTGATGGGCACACTGATGTAAGGGAGTACTCTGATGGGGATACTGATGTAAGGGAGTACTCTGATGGGGATACTGATGTAAGGGAGTAATCTGATGGGGATACTGATGTAAGGGAGTACTCTGATGGGGGCATTGATGTAAGGGAGTACTCTGATGGGGGCATTGATGTAAGGGAGTACTCTGATGGGGGCACTGATGTAAGGGAGTACTCTGATGGGGGCACTGATGTAAGGGAGTTCTCTGATGCAGATAGTAATCTAAGAGGGACTCTGATGGGCACACTGATGTAAGGAGGGACTCTGATGGGCACACTGATGTACCGGGGACTCTGCGGGGAACACTGATGTAAGGGGGGCTTTAATGTAAGGGGAAACTCTGATGGGGATACATATGTAAGGGGCTACTCTGATGGGGTGCTGATTTAAGTGAGGACTCTGATGGAGGCAGTGCTGTAAGGGGGAACTCTGATGGGGACACTGATGTAAGAGGGAAGAGATTATTTTTCGGCCTTTGAATATTTGTAAAATTTACAATTCAGCCCTTGCACTGAAACGTTCGTAGACCCCTAGGGAGGAGGAACAGGTAGCATTGCTTATCATGTTCCCCGTTCCAGCAGGCTCCAACGCTATCCTGTTCTCCACCAGAGCCCTGAATTGTGTTCCGTCCCTCGACGTCATCATGTACAATGTGGGGCTATTAACAGTGCTTTGTATGTGGAGGGGGCTAGTGTGGGGTCATGGGTGGCTTAGAAGGGGAGGTTGCAAGGGATCAGTCATATGGACAGAGGGATCCTGCTGAAGTGCAAATTTAGGTATTTCTCCTTATTTCCCCCCCCCCCCAAGTATTTCTAGGAACATTTAACCCTTGCAGTCCTTAGGGGGTGTTTTTGTTCTAGTGCAGAGATCAGCTTTAATGGAGTGGTGAGGAAGCATACGGTAGGTAAGTATGTTCAGCGGAGGGAGAGACTCTACAGCAACTATGAATGGGATGAGCAAATCATGTGGAAGCCCCGTCTGTTCTCTATGGGGATGGATGGTGGGGGTGTTTTGGGTCTTCGGCTCCTGCACAGTGATCAGTATTGCTCTATGGGGATGGATGGTGGGGGGGTGTTTTGGGTCTTCATCTCCTGCACAGTGACCAGTATTGCTCTATGGGGATGGATGGTGGGGGGATGTTTTGGGTCTTCATCTCCTGCACAGTGACCAGTATTGCTCTATGGGGATGGATGGTGGGGGGTGTTTTGGGTGTTCGGCTCCTGCAGAATGATCATTATTGCTCTATGGCAATGGATGGTGGGGGTGTTTCGGATATTTGGATCCTGTACAGTGACCAGTATTGCTGTATGGGGATGGATGGTGGGGGTGTTTTGGGTGTTTGGCTCCTGTACAGTGATCAGTGTTGCTTTATGGGGATGGATGGTGGGGGGGGTGTTTTGGGTCTTCGGCTCCTGCACAGTGACCAGTATTGCTCTATGGGGATGGATGGTGGGGGGTGTTTTGGGTCTTTGGCTCCTGCACAGTGATCAGTATTGCTGTATGGGGATGGATGGTGGGGGGTTGTTTTGGGTCTTCGGTTCCTGCACAGTGACCAGTATTGCTCTATGGGGATGGATGGTGGGGGGGTGTTTTGGGTCTTTGGCTCCTGCACAGTGATCAGTATTGCTCTATGGGGATGGATGGTGGGGGGTGTTTTGGGTCTTTGGCTCCTGCACAGTGATCAGTATTACTCTATGGGGATGGATGGTGGGGGGTTTTTGTTTTGTTTCAGCTCCTGCACAGTGATCAGTAGAGGCTGGGGCCTCTTTGTTTGTGTCAGGCTTTGGCTGGGGCCTGGATTGTTTTGGCCTGGGACGCCTGGTTACCAGTCACAGAGGAAGTCATCAATTAACGCCATCTGATTCTTGCTGGCTGAGCTCATGTTCCACCTCCTGGAGGCTACTATGGGATGTCTTCCCATGTCACCGCAGCAATTGGCTGGAGAAATGATCCCCCCCACCTTCTCTGTATTGTGTATAGTGAAGGTCAGACGATGGGCCGCCTGGCACAATGTCAGCAGCTGACTCCAGAGGGGCTTTCCTCCATGCTGACAACAATCAGTGGATTGTTCTTATCCGGATTCCTGCGCACGCTCTTCTAAACAATATGGTGTAATTGGCTGTCTATGTGTGCTGATGCAAGGAGTCGGTCTGATGTGAAATCCTGGGAGCTGGGAACATTTGCTGGATGTGTGAGCAGCTGAGGAGAGGATGTTGTCTTCTAAAGAGAACCTGTCATGTTGATGGTTCTGTGCTCCTGCTCACAATGCCAATGAGCACTTACCATTATGATAAATACACACTCCGGGGCTGTGTATTGCAATGTACGGACCACTGCATCGGCTGCTGTGTGCAGAGGGGTCTGGGGGGATGGCCAGGATATTTGGAATTGGTTCACATTTTTCATTTTTTTTCATGAAAAAGCTGAACTTACCCTTTTTATTGACAAATTTTGGTGGGATAATTTACTCAAACTGCAGCGGAATTTCTTTATGAATTTGACATCCCAAAGCGGCAACGTTCACACTTTGCAATTTAGAATCATGGACAGATTCTCTGCGTTTCTGCTCACGCCTTCAAATCACATGGCAATCACTGAAAACACGCAACGCGTGTTTGGGTGTCATTATCCTTCAATGGCTTCCCAAACATGATGCAAATGTCGTACGATATGAACGTGCCGCCATCGCAGCAAACGGGTGACAAATGCGCATAGGGCAGGCCATTACAGTGAATAGGCTGGCACTATGCGATATGCAGAATCGCATGACAATCTCGTTTTAAAAATTGGAATCAATCTGTAGGTGGGGCCTAAAGGAATTGCAGATAAAAACAACTTTTTTTCCAACTACATACACCCCTCCAGAAATGTGCTGCAAATTTAAAAAAAAATTAAGTTTACACTTGTTGCAGGCATTGTCGACCCTTTGAAAAGTGATATGTGGTGGAAAGCTTTTCAGAGGTGTTTGGCAGGTGTTGAGGAGATGATATGTTGCCTCCCCAACACCTTCTATAACCCTGTAAAGCCTGCACCACTGCGCCACCGACCGACCGCTCCCAGTGACATCAGAGAGGAAGATGGCGGCATGGGGCCTGGTGTACAGCCATTCTTTACTATTGGTGACTACGCTGTATCTGTGTATCCCATGTGCAGAAATACGCCACAATATTGTCGTATGTATTTATGTCTGTACATGTGCATGAGGCTTTAACCGCTTCCCATCCGCCCTATAGCAGAAGTACTGCTACAGGGCGGCACGGGGTGCGCAAAATCGCGCGTGTGTGTGGTTCCAGGTAGGGGGCGCACGTGCGCCTCGGCTGTGAATCAACGTGTCCCGGACAGTGATTGCCGAGCATCTCCGACGGAGGGGAGAACTGTTTGTAAACAATACAGTTCTCTCACCTGTCAGCTTGTGCACACTGCTTTGCATGGCTGTGCATAGCACAGCCATACAAAGCAGTGTGCTTACAGTGAAGCACACTATGTAAAATGGCACACAGTTAACCCTTTGATTGCCCCTCATGTTAACCCCTTCCTGCCCAGTGCCATTAGTACACTGTCAATGCTTTTTTTTTAGCACTGATCACTGTTTTGGTGTCACTGTGGATGTCAGTGACACCAGGTCAGTTCCCCCCAGTGTCAGAATGCCTGCCGTAGTCCCGCTATAAGTCGCTGATCACCACCATTACTAGTAAAACATTTTTTTTTAAATCCAGTGTATATACCTCTATTTGTAGATGCTAACTTGTAACTTTCACATAAACCAATTAATTTACACATATCGGAATTTTTTTTTTTTCAGCAAAGACATGTCGCAGAATACATTTTGGCCTAAATTTATGACAAAATGTATTTTTTTTTTTCTGGACATGTTTAATAGCAAAAATCTTGGTCCTTTTTTTTTTTTTTTCTTTTTTCTTTTACCACAAAAAATAAAAAACGCACAGGTGAGCAAATACCACCGAAAGAGAGCCCTATTTGTGGGGAAATAAGGATGTAAATTTCATTTGGGTGCAGCGTTGCATGACCGCGCAATCGTCAGTTAAAATAACGCAGTGCCGTAATGCAAAACATGGCCTGGTCAGGAAGGGAGATAAATCCTCAGGACGGCAAATGGTTAAAGCGACTTTATTGCAATTTGTGTAAAAAAAATAAAAACAAAAAAAAAAAAACAACCCAAAACTAACTCTCTCAAAAGCCGTCTTCTATGTACAGACATTCACTTTCATTCTGTCTAGATGATGGATCGGGCAGTGCTGATATTTCAGGTATTTTTATTGTCGCTGTAAAAATATTACTCCGAGAATGAGGAAGTAGATGAGAAGTCTGTAAATCACTGCGGTTATGTTCTTGAAAGTGTTCCAGGAGAGTCAGATATAATGTGTAATTAGTGTTGGCAGTGACAGTGTAGTATCTCCTTTAGGAGTGGTGCCCGAGTCTCAGGGCTGTGATTGGGTGTCACTCTCCTGTGCCAGTGCAAAGTTCAGTAGTACATTCACTGGCCACTTTATTAGGCACACCTTGCTAGTACTGGGTTAGACCCCCTTTTGCCTTCAGAACTGTTACTAAACCCCGGACCCTGCATTCACTGTATCTGGTCTCCCTGGACCCTGCATTCACTATATCTGGTCTTTCACCAGACCCTGCATTCACTATATCTGGTCTCCCCGGAGCCTGCATTCACTATATCTGGTCTCCCCGGAGCCTGCATTCACTATATCTGCTCTCCCCGGAGCCTGCATTCACTATATCTGGTCTCCCCCGGACCCTGCATTCACTATATCCGGTCTCCCCGGACCCTGCATTCACTATATCTGGTCTCCCCGGACCCTGTATTCTCTATATCCGGTCTCTCACCAGACCCTGCATTCACTATATCTGGTCTCCCCAGACCCTGCATTCACTATATCTGGTCTCCTCGGACCCTGCATTCACTACATCTGCTCTCCCCGGACCCTGCATTCACTATATCTGGTCTCCCCAGACCCTGCATTCACTATATCTGGTCTCTCACCAGACCCTGCATTCACTATATCTGGTCTCCCAGAACCCTGCATTCACTATATCCGCTCTCCTCGGACCCTGCATTCACTATATCTGCTCTCCCCGGCCCCTGCATTCACTATATCTGCTCTCCCCGGCCCCTGCATTCACTATATCTGCTCTCCCCGGCCCCTGCATTCACTATATCTGCTCTCCCTGGACCCTGCATTCACTATATCCGCTCTCCCCGGACCCTGCATTCACTAGATACAGTCTCCCCGCACCCTGCATTCACTATATCTGGTCCCCCACAGTACACACAACATGGAAATGCAATTATTTTAGTAAATATAAACTGCTAAATAACTTTTCTCTTCAGCAGTATATTGCTGTCTTGTGAATTCTATCAGTGTCCAGTTGATCACTGGTTAAATCTTGTAGGAGGAGTTTCTTTCTGCTCTAGGAGGATGCAGGACCCCTGACCCTCTGTCTGGACAGTGCTGATTTGCCCTGTGCTGATCACATGCACTCTCCCAAGAAAAAATAAAACCTCTCTAACAATACACACCAAACTGAGCATGTGCAGAGTGACTCAACACAATATGGCTTATCAGGAAATGAGAGGGGGGGCATTGGAAGAAGGGGAGGATCAGAGAAGACAGGATCAAACAGCGTTTTTACACAATGCCGAGGATTAACCCCTGCTATGCAGTGGCTGTTTTTGGCTTTTGAATTTTTTTCCTACAGCCAGTAAACCCCCCAGCATGTTATCCTATGTGTCCATACACACATAGACTGGAATCACTATTTTTTGGCTGGAAAAAAAAAATCCAGGACTAGTGGGTTTCTAGAGGAGTTTTTTAGCTGTAAAAACGCTCTAACGGTGAAAAATGTGGTAATACGTCGCAAACCGGCGTTTTTTTTTTTTGGACTTTTTCTGACCGAAAAAATTTTTTTTTTGGGGGGTAGAAAAAAACCCTCTAAAAAATGCAAACACAGGAAAACGCTGCTGAACACTAATACAAAAAACGCTAAGAAAAGCTGAAAAACTCACATTTTTAACGTGACTTTCCACAGCTAACATTACCAGCGTTATCAAAAAACACCCCGTGTGCATGGAGCCTGACACCGGCATGCAGAGGTCATTATTGCACATTTGTAGATCAGGATTTATGCTGGTTCCAGAGAAGGGGTTAATGAGTTTGTATAGTGCGGTCCGCGCTCTCTCTCTGCTCTGTTTGGTTGCGCTCATATTTGAAGCCGCCAAACTGGTTGCTGTGTGAACCTGGCAAACATCCCTCCGAAAAGACGCCGGAATTGGCTTGCGCTCAGCTGCCGTGATAATGGGAAGGCTTTTAACCAGTTAATGACCAATTAATAAAATAGATTGTACAACATACAAGAAATGATTAGGGTATGAGAGATTGGGGGGGGGGGGGGTGCACCTCCAGCAGATAAATATAATCCTCCCCTCCAAAAAAAGTCTGAAAGTTTGTCACATGATGTATAAGATGGAAGCCATCTACAGCAAGAAACAACCTACAGACACTTCTAGTATTGCATTAATAAAATATTGAATGGTTCAGTATAGTCTATGGCAGGCGGATGGAAACGATTGTGCGTCTATTTATATCCAACTACCTTCCAATACCCTCCCAACTTTTTCTTTGGATCTAAATGTGACGGATCGGAGGTAACAGGTTGTACACCGACTCATGGCCATTTTACATCGTCATCCCGTAGACCTGACATGGGTCCAGTTTCAAGCTGGAGGTAAAACCTGAATGGATGTGGCGTCTTCTGTTCTGCGCAGATTCGGCAGGTCATCCTGTTAATGGAATCCCTACATATTGGAATGGTCACCACTCATCTGATAGGACCCTAATAGTTACCATGTTTATGTATTGTGATGTGTAATGTAAGAGCTTATTCACACGTGCGGCCGGGGAGGGCAGTAAAGCCAGAAAGGTACATAGTTAGTCTGGCTGAAAAAAGACCAAAAGTGCATCCAGTTCAACCAGAAAAAAAAAGTTTAATCCTAAACTAAAGTTGATCCAGAGGAAGGCAAAAAAGCCAGCAAAGCATGATCAAATTTGCTCCTGCACGGAAAAAAATTCCTTTCTGATCCCCCGAGAGGCAATCGGATATTCCCTGGATCAACTTTACCTATAAATGTTAGTATCCAGTTATATTCTGTATATCTAGGAAAGAATCCAGGACTTGTGTAAAGCATTCCACTGAGCTGGCCAGGACCATTGAGGGAGTCTATTCCACATTTTCACTACTCTTACTGTGAAGAAACCTTTCCGTGTTTGGAGATTTGGGAGAGCGGGTAGGGTGAGAGCCACCAATTTACCCAGGGGTCTGGAAGTGATAGTCATCTGCAGGGTAGATAGCAGAGCCTGGGAAACATGGTGGGATGGGGAGGGGGGAATGGTGAGAGCCACTAACTAACCAGGGCTCTGGAACAGGGGCGGACTGACAACTCATGGGGCCCATGGGCAATAGGGGATCATGGGGCCCCTGTGTCCTTGCCCAAACTCCAAAAAAGCCTATGAAAAAGGTACCAGGGGCATCTCATGGGGCCCCCTACTGATCCCGGGCCCTCAGGCAGTGCCCGAGTTTCCAAATGGTCAGTCCGCCCCTGGTCTGGAAGTGATAGCCATCTGCAGGGTGGATAACAGAGCCTGGGAAGTATGGCAAGATAGGGGTGGGGGTAGGGTGAGAGCCACCAATTTACCAACAGTCTGGAAGAGATAGTCACCAGATCACTTCCACCCGAAAGCCGACAGTTAGCTTTTCACACTTTTGGCTGCTGAGTGCGTATGAAACCAGCTGCTGCAACCAGTGTATGAGATGTGTTGGTGACAGTAAAAGGGTTAATTGCTATTGCTCAGCCAGACCATGACGCCTGCATTGCTTGCAACGAAACAATTCTGTCCAATTTTGGCCCATTTGCTTCACAAACACAGAAATCCTCCGCCTTTGTTATGATTACAGGCAGCGTGTAGTCAGAGCTCTGAAATCCTCTACTGATGTACATGTCAGAATGAATTGTCCTATTAAGGCATTTCTATAGGTGTGTGACACCAAAACACTGACCTGCTTGGCTGTGCTGTGATGTCATGTATTTGGCATGTACAGTGGGGCAAAAAAGTATTTAGTCAGCCACCAATTGTGCAAGTTCTTCCACTTAAAAAGATGAGAGAGGCCTGTAATTGGCATCATAGGTAGACCTCAACTATGAGAGACAAAATGAGAAAAAAAATCCAGACAATCACATTGGCTGATTTGGAAAGAATTTATTTGCAAATTATGGTGGAAAATAAGTATTTGGTCAATATCAAAAGTTCATCTCAGTACTTTTTGTTATATATCCTTTGTTGGCAATGACAGAGGTCAAACGTTTCCTGTAAGTCTTCACAAGGTTGGCACACACTGTTGCTGGTATGTTGGCCCATTCCTCCATGCAGATCTCCTCTAGAGCAGTGATGTTTTGGGGCTGTCGCTGGCCAACACGGACTTTCAACTCCCTCCAAAGGTTTTCTATGGGGTTGAGATCTGGAGACTGGCTAGGCCACTCCAGGACCTTGAAATGCTTCTTACGAAGCCATTCCTTCGTTGCCCGGGCGGTATGTTTGGGATCATTGTCATGTTGGAAGACCCAGCCACGTTTCATCTTCAATGCCCTTGCTGATGGAAGGAGGTTTGCACTCAAAATCTCACGATACATGGCCCCATTCATTCTGTCCTGTACATGGATGAGTCGTCCTGGTCCCTTTGCGGAGAAACAGCCCCAAAGCATGATCTTGCCACCCCCATGCTTCACAGTAGGTATGGTGTTCTTTGGATGCAACTCAGCATTCTCTCTCCTCCAAACACGATGAGTTGTGTTTCTACCAAGCAGTTCTATTTTGGTTTCATCTGACCATATGACATTCTCCCAATCCTCTTCTGGATCATCCAAATGCTCTCTAGCAAACTTCAGACGGGCCGGACATTAACTGCCTTAAGTAGGGGGACACGTCTGGCACTGCAGGATCTGAGTCCCTGGTGGCGTAGTGTGTTACTGATGGTAGCCTTTGTTACGTTGGTCCCAGCTCTCTGCAGGTCATTCACTAGGTCCCCCCATGTGGTCCTGGGATTTTTGCTCACCGTTCTTGTGATCATTTTGACCCCACGGGGTGAGATCTTGCGTGGACCCCCAGATCGAGGGGTCGATTATCAGTGGTCTTGTATGTCTTCCATTTTCTAATTATTGCTCCCACAGTTGATTTGTTCACACCAAGCTGCTTGCCTATTGCAGATTCAGTCTTCCCAGCCTGGTGCAGGTCTACAATTTTGTTTCTGGTGTCCTTCGACAGCTCTTTGGTCTTCACCATAGTGGAGTTTGGAGTGTGACTGTTTGAGGTTGTGGACAGGTGTCTTTTATACTGATAACAAGTTCAAACAGGTGCCATTGATACAGGTAATGAGTGCAGGACAGAGGAGCCTCTTAAAGAAGAAGGTACAGGTCTGTGAGAGCCAGAAATCTTGCTTGTTTGTAGGTGACCAAATACTTCTTTTCCACCATAATTTGCAAATAAATTCTTTCCAGATCAGCCAATGTGATTGTCTGGATTTTTTTTTCTCATTTTGTCTCTCATAGTTGAGGTCTACCTATGATGCCAATTACAGGCCTCTCTCATCTTTTTAAGTGGGAGAACTTGCACAATTGGTGGATGACTAAATACTTTTTTGCCCACTGTAGATCTGTAGAGCAATGATATGATGTCATCCATAGGAGGAAAAAACACAGCTGCTCTCAGCAGTGCTTATTTGTGATTGGTCATTTGAGTTCACAGATATCAACACCGCGCTTGTCTATGTTGGTGTCCAGCTGCAGCTCAGCCGCCCTCTCTGGGGTGATAGGATAACCGTAATACTGTATCAGCCGTGCTCTCAGCGACACATAGATATCCATCAGATGTCGCTCTCACCGGAAATGTCAGACCTGCATTTCTGGAGGTCTCTAAACGCTTGTTGTGCAGCCTCCCAGTCATCGCTTCCCCAAGTAAGTCGC